TGCGTCATTTGTACAGCTCCTTATGGCATACTTGCCAACCTGAGACCTTAGAAATCGGGAGCATTTCAAAACCACCGCGGGAGGGGGGGGGACCGCCGGAGCTGTATTAGATTAACATTAACATGCTTATTGTAGTTGTTAGTGCACTGTCTTGCGGCCTGTAGCATGGAAAGGAGTGAGCAGAGGGTAGAGTTGTCGATTCTTGTTCAGTTTACTGTGACTATCTTCCTCACCCTCTCAGACTGTCAGTTGCGCGCGCTACTAAAGAAATGCGCTACCATGGAAACCAAACAATGGTGTAGCTGTATTAAAGTACGAGTGGAAACAGTCCTGAGTAAATCTGATTTTGTCTGAAATCGGGAGAAATGCGGGAGAAATATGACCCCGGGAGGAAACCGGGAGAGGGCAGCGAAAATCGGAAGGGTTGGCAAGTATGGTCCACAGACGGCCAATCAGAGTCCTCCCAAGTCTCAGAATAACACACGGATCCACAAGATGTAAACAATGCCAGAGCAGCAGGAAACAATACAAAAAATACTCTCAAAAATACACACATCACTCAGTACAAGTACATCGCTATGCTCCAAATAAAACTAGTTTTTTTATTTACACATATTTAATTTTATAATATGAAAAATAATAAATAGTCAAGGTTAGGCTATATGTTTAGGATATTATATCTTAACACCAGTACAGCAACACACTACCATGTACATTTTTCTAGATGCTCATAAAAAGTTTATACCTACATACCTGGTCTATTTTATTTACTGGAACAGGCATGTGACAGAGATAAGCAGCCTCTGAGAGGGAGGTGTGGGGATGGGATTCACCACTAAGGGGGTAGCTAATGGAAGCTAAGCTAACACAGATAGGAACTAAGCCAAGGAATACCCAGTCTGTTTTTGGCTGATCTGAAGTCGCAGAAAAACTAAATGAATGATAAAAGACTCAGACTACCCCAGCACTGTGAGGTCAGTGTGTCCACACCTCTCCGGAGACCTGGATCCACAGTGTCCCTGCGGTCCCACTGCAGTGGACAGCAGGACAGGACTCTGGGCATCAATGACACCAGGTGCTCAGCAGGATGGACAGTGTTTCCCTGTTGGAGACAGGACATCTCCCCAGTGGCTTTTGGTGCTGCTGTTTGGTTTCATTCCTTGGTTCCTGTGCAATAATTACTTGTTATTTGAAAAACGTTTGTATAATGCCTCAACATGTTACTTATGTCACTTTCTTTAAATTGCTGCAACTCATTTTTAGCGATGGTTGTGTATTTATTTTGATATTCTATTACTAGCTTTCTTCTCTATATTTAATAAGTTAGCTTACTCTTTATTGTTGCATGCCTTTTTTTACCTGCTATAGGCTACCACTTTTGCCCTCTACATTTTCCCCGCTGTGGGACAAACCAGAAGCAAGTACAATTGAATTGTAACCACTCCATATCTTGTCAGAAAAAAAACTAAATACATTTTTGATTTAAGATAAATAATCTGATGCTTTTTGCAGTGAATTAAATGTTTTATCTTCACTACACATGGTTAAAACTGGGGTCTAATGTCTTCCTCTTTTCTCTGTCTTGCATCAATGATGACTGACAGTTGCAAGTCAGACTGAATTCTGCTGATAAATTGGCCACTGTCCTTCTGCCTCTGCATCAGAAAGCATGGAGGTCTCACTAAACAAGTGAAACCCAAACATTTGCTTAAACACTAATCCAATTTTAAATTATTTCCATAACATTTCAATATCCTTTTTTTGAGTTATATGGGGGCTTTGACTGTTTGGGCCACCATAGCCAAACCTCAGTAATCAAGATTATGAGTGGGCATTTGACACAGAGACACAGTGTGTAAGCAGCAGGGCTTCACAGCACTGAGCCTAACCAAGCCTGACGTGTGGGCTCAATCTGAGGTCCATCTGATGCCAGTCCACATGTACTGTTTCTCTGTGGGTCAGCACGTTGTAATGTAAAGAATGAGACTGGATGGGGAACATTAAATATGTTCCGAACTGTCTTTATTCACATCAGCCAATAATGTGGGTAGACCTTATTTCGTCGTCCCTTTTGGAAGGTAACAATGTTCAGCATAGATGAAGATGAATCAAAAAAATCATTATCTTCAAGTCAAAATCATAGTCATGCTGTCCCAGTGAGAAATACAAAAATAAAATCTAAAATGTCCAAAAGTCAAAGAGACCACTGGAAACATAGCTAATTTCTTATGGTCGGGTATTTTCTACTTTGTGCTGGCGTGTTCCGGCTCAGACGAAAGCATCGCTAACTTGTTTTTTCACAGGCGATTACAGTGAGAACAAGACGGGCTCACAGGCCGGCAGAGCATGGGACCTTCATGAGGCTTAGAGCCACCTCCGGGATCAATGTTGCCATTTTGTTGATCAAGCAGCACAGATCCACCATGCAAGATGCATTTCGTTTGCTAAATAGCTATCTGAAGCGCCTATTCATCGAGCAATTTTTCACAGGAGTAAAAGTGGATGGCATGATGCTGAGCTCTTGAATAACATCTCCAGTCTGCACGAGATCCACTTTGTACATTTGGTACAATGTTTGTACTATATGAATTCTTGTCTGAACTTGAAGGTTTTGATTTGAGTTTGTGACTATGTGGGTCCGGGGGTTACACAAGACTATCCTTAGCATAACAGCTAACACAGAAATGTAAGAAACACAAATCAACAGAATCAAAAATCAGCTTGCTAAAACAGGCTCATCCATGGCGACAGTGTGTCTGCTGATGTCTACTCTAGCTTAGCTTTGAGCTATCAGGCCTTGAGCCATGTTCTGCGTATGTGGCTAACTGCGTTAGCTTGATATGGATGTTGAATAGATACAAGCCTGGACTTATTCTAAAAATGTTCATACAACTGTAAACATAGCAACAAGTCCTGATTATTCACATTTAAGTGAGTCATCACCAAGATCAAATCAAACATGAAATCTTCTTCAGATAAGAATTAGAGAGAAATGACCTCAATGTATTGTTGAATTAAATTCAATCTTCACACACAAAACATGTACATGGAATAAAAAACAATACAATGTATACATGTAATATGTTAAAGTGACCTTCCAGGGAAACTGTGCTGTGTGTGACCACAGCGCCATGTGAGCCAATCACATGTTCCCATTCAGACAATCGCAACACTGCTTTAGATTCTCTGGTGTTGTCCTTTGATTACGAAATGAAACCAGAGTTTTATTCAAGATAACTTCAGCAAAGATAAGAAAATCAAATCTGTGATAAAAAAGTGAGCTGTCTGAAGGAGAGCCGGACATTTCATTTTGTATATAGCATGGCATCAAATGAACAACAGCAGACACAAGTATCTTCTGACTGTCAGACACAGTAGTGCATGGTGTCTGAAATCAGTGTGAGTGTACATGAAAGAGTACATTTTAAAAGAAACACATTAAGAAAAAATCAAATACTATTAAATTCAACTTGCAACATTTTAAACAAATTAGACCTTTCTTAACT